TTCCCCCCCCCCCCCCCCCCCCCCCCCCCCCCCTTCTCATTGACGAGTGCCCTCCCCCAAACGCGTGCCTTTTTGTCTTGACCTCCTCAAAGGTGATGGTGCCAACGCATTGCAAGGGTTTCTTGGCTCCCCGGCTGACCTCTAGGTTCCTGCCCGAGTTTTGGCTATCCCCGATGGTTCTCGGGATTGGGGAGCCCACTCAGGGCGACAGGGTGAGTAACCTTGCTTTTCTATTTTCGTGAAAGTGAAAGACAACATTTTTAGGTAGTGTTTTGTTTTCTTTGCTGAAACACAACGAATAGAATCCAACTCTATCCACTATCCACAGATATTTTTTTCATTTTTATTTTTTATTTTTGAGAGGAAAGTCTTGTTCCGAAGGAAGGGCCTGGACCCGATCCCACGGCGAGAGACCGAGATGTGCCAAAAGTTGTTACTGCTGTAGTGATAAAAACGTGCTCTTGTACTCCCGTCGCGCCACATACTTGCAGCCAAATTATTTTGCTGTTCCTCCTGTGTGCCGTTATCCATGGTGAGGCGGGGGGTACGCGCAGGATATGAACGGAATCTTAGCCTTGTTGTTCTTCGTTTTCGGTGCCAGAGCTGCAGAACTTACACTGTCGTTCCTCAAGGTGCCGTCTTCATACCACGCCCCCACACACACACACCGTTTTGTTTCTTCGCACGGCGTTCGTGGTGATGACCGACCGGTGGGCGCGGCCCCGCAGCTGGGAATGGACCTGGTCATCGTCCACTTCATCCTCCCCGTGGTGATGGAACACCTCAAGATCAGGGGGCCCGTGAGAAGGGCGGCGTGCTGGGTGCTCTCGGCGGCCTGCGGCGCCACCGGCACGAGGGGGCTTCTCCTCCACCCCGCACTCGTAGCGGGTGAGAACACTAGTTATTATTGAGGCCTTCCTGCGTTCTTTTTTTCGAGCGCGCGGCGATACATTAAGAAACCGGCACGCCACGAGACGGTGCTCAACCTTGCCACCGCCGTAGTATTTTTTGTCTTTCCATTTTTTTTGTTTTATCGGGCGCTGTTCCGGTCAAACTGACGGTTCGCCGCCTTAAAAAAGGAGGAATGACTGGCTGGTGGTGTGTTGGTGTGTTGGTGTGTTGGTGTGTTGGTGTGTTGAGATCGGGGAAGGGGGTGACGATGGCCGTGAAAAACCAAGCGGATCGAAAGAGACAACAAAAAAAACATGCCCTGGCGAACGGGAAAGGGAGGAAGGAGCAGATCGTTCGTCTCCTCAGTCCTGCCTTCAGCTCCTGTGCTGAAACGGCAGTGCTAGCGTTCTCTCTCCCTTGTTTTTGCTGCTGCTGCTGCTGCTGCTGCTGCTGCTGCTGCTGTTGTTTTCGTCCTGTCAGTGTTGGTCGTTTTCGTCCTGTCAGTGTTGGTTGTTTTCGTCCTGTCAGTGTTGGTTGTTTTCGTCCTGTCAGTGTTGGTCGTTTTCGTCCTTTCAGTGTTGGTCGTTTTCATCTTGGGGCGAAGCGATGGATGTTTGCAATTGGATGGTTGCTGCCGCCAGGGACGCTGTCGATCGGCCACGCGCGCCCAATACACTTGGGGGTTTGTCGTTTCACTTGCCACCGCACACGCCTCAGAGAATCACCCTTCCGTTCCCGCCGCATACAACGACCCCGGCCATTCTTTGCTGTTTGAAACAACATCAACCCGCGCCTACGTCATTGTGCATACATACGCACACGTTTTTTGTTTGTTTCCACTGTGACTGGCGTCGTTTCATTGGCGGACCAATCGTCGTGAGTTGAGCACGCCTCCCCAAAGAACCACACGACGGACACACCCCTCGCGTTCACGCCCGCTGCCCTTCTTGCCCCCCTTGCAGGGATGCGAGTTCAGTGGTCTACAACGACTAAACCCTACCCCCCGCAGCTCTTTTTTTTTTTCACAGGACTTTATCTTGTTCATCTATCATACATACGGTCATTCCTCAATTTCGTGTCTTCGTACCTCCGCCGCGCGCTATCCATCCCCCAGGACGAGGCGCCGCTGCCAACGATCCCGACGACCTCGATGACCTCGAGCTACCCCAGCCGCAAGCCCCGCCGCCGCCGCCGCCGCAGATCCCGCCTCTTCCGGTGCTTGGCAACCCTCAGCCACCGGCCGGAGGGGGGGCACAGCAGCAGCAGGCAGGCGACGGCGAGTTGAACGACAACGAAGGGGGGGCCGCAGATGAACGGGGGGTTGGGGAGGGTGGTGGTGGTGGTGGTGGTGGTGATGCATATGGCGTAGGCGGAGAGGCGCCGAGAGCCGTCCGCGGAGAGGGTGGCGCGTTAGGGGAGGGTGGCGAGGGGATCGGCAGAGTGGAGGAGGAGGGGGGTGATGGGGGAGGAGTCGTCGGCGGGGGGGTCGAAAGAGAGGAGGAGGGGGGCGGTGGGGGGGCAGTTGCTCAGGAGCAGGAGGAGGAGGAGGAGGAAGGGGGAGAGGGATACGAGAGAAGGGGAGCTTTTGCGCACGTTGTGGAGGCGATGAGGGTTTATGCCGCGGGGTCCCTGGTGTGCATCGCCCTCGCGGTGGTGCCGGCGGCGACGGTTCTCCTTCCTCTTGTCACAGGTGAGGGGGAGGGGGGGGCGGTGGCGGCGGCGTGATTTGGAAAGTTGAAGAGATGACCCCCAATATTCAGTTCCTGGCCAATAGAGAGGTCGCACACAAGACAAATAGGAGCGTGAGAGGGCATTTTTCTCGTCGTTGAACTTATCAGAATTTGTAGTGCGGTATATAGAGAGAATTGGCATGTAGAATTCATACAAGTCCTCCCCCAACAAAACACGCACACACACACACACACACCGGGTCCCAGATTGTGGCCTTTAGAAGTATTGTGTGTTTTCAACCCCCACTGAGACTGACGTCTTTTCATTGGTCAGCCTGTTTGCGCGGTCGACAAGAAAAAACACACACACACACAAAACACACCACTTTTTATTGTGAAGCACCCCCCTGATGATTTGTTGCTCGGAAAAAAAGCTAACCTCAGATGCTTTCGTTGCTATGCATGTCATGCTTCTAAGTCGCAAACACCTCACGTTTGTTATATATTTTTCCCCTCTTGTCGCCAGGACGATCCCTCTTCGCGGCGATGGGCCTGCCGCTAGACGACGACCTCCCTCCTCTCGTAGCCGGTGGACTGCTCTGCGCGGCGTGGGCTTGGGGTAAGGGTCATGTTCTCCTCTGCCGTATCGTCTCCTCTTATATATCTTACATTTTGGACCTTTGTTTTTTGTTTTTCTTTGAAGAGATTCGTTGGGAACGGTTACACTCGATCGGCCCCGGAATTGGGTCCGGGTTGAGCCGAATGGATGAAGCAAGACGGTTGGTGCGGAATAGTAAGATAGTGACTGATCTTTGTATGGACAGGTTAGCGCTAGAATGCATGCAGAGTTTCTTTGTAAGGAGAGGCTAGCGGTAGAGTGACAAGCCGCTTGGTAGGGAGAGGTTGGCGGTAGAATTCCCGTCTCCGATATGTTGAGCATGCCAGCAGCCTGTTTTGTCGCCTCTTTGGGCTGTAGCGATCACCCTGCCCCCCCGAACACCTCGTGTATTGTAGCTCCCGCGGTGTTGTGTAGTGTGGATGAGATGAGTTGCCCCCGCCACGTTACATGTCCACTATTGTCATGGTAGCGGCGTGAGGAACTCTGCGGCTTAGGGCCGTGCGGGCTAGACGGCGATATGTACGACGTGGGGGTTCCGTGTTTAAATCCAGAACATGGATCGCGCTGCTGCGATGCCCCCGGTCGAAAACGAAATTTCTCAAGAATTTCGGTGGTTTTCTCAAAGTGGGCAACAGGAACAATAATACGTGTCCTCAAGTCCCCCCCCCCCCCCGCCCTCGTCTCTGTCTCCGTCCTTTCGAGGACGCGTGGTCAACAGCCTTAAAGCTAAGCTAACGCATATACCCCACCCGTCCCCCGCACGTGCGTTATTTTTTTTTTCGGCTCAAGCTCTCTCGGCGCTGATCCGGCTGCAAGTGGCTGCCGGACAGCACCGCCGCCTTTTGTGCAACGCCCTAATGCTTGCAGGTACGGAGTCATGGTTACTGGTGTCTGCCTTGCCAAAGATCAAAGCATTATCAAGCGGTATCGTGCTTAGTGCTCGTTTGTCCAATCGTCGAGCGCTTTGGTCTTTGCCCACAGCCGCAATAAAATCAGGACGATATCGTTTTTTTTCGGTCTGGTGTGGTTGGAGATTGTTTTCTCGTAGTGGTAAAGTCGACGCTCTTGCCGTTTGCAGCAGTCCTCGTTCCTCTTCCTTTTTCGTGCAGCGCGTTTTTCAATGTTTGTTCGATGTCATGTTATATCCGCCCAACTTCTGTGTGGTGCCACCGATCACTAGCGAGCACTCACGGCCTGCTGTTGGTACTGTAGGACGTCGACACGCTCGCGGTGGCCCTTCTTTTACGGTCCACTTAAGAAATGGTCATCATGGTTTCTTTTTGGTTTACGAATTTTTTTTGGAAAGTGCTGCCGAACGTGGCAGTCCTCGCTTCGTCAAATACCGTACGTCCGCGGCAAGAGAATAGCTACTGTGGCACACATCGCGCTGTGTCTCTAATACTGAAATAGCAGAAGTCCATGCTACCTTTTGACCATTCACCGAGTTTATGTCCACCGCTTCGTTAGTAAACCACCGCCGCCGCCGCCGCCGCCGCTGTGGGCGCTTTCTTTTCTCGCGTCCGTGGCGCACCGCGGTCGACTGACTCTTCTCTCTCTCTCGCTCTCTGTCTGTCTGTCTGTCTCTCTCTCTCTCTCTCTCTCTCTCTCTCTCTCTCTCTCTCTCTCTGCCTCACCACCTACCATACACGTTTTATTTCCCCACCATCATGATCATCATGATCATGAATCCAGGGAAGTGGTTCGTGATCGGCGCCCTGCTGGTGGGCGCCTTGCCCGGCCTGACGGGGCTGTTGGTCCACGACGCCCTTCGAGGGCCTCTGCCCCCCACCGAAGAGACCGCGGCCCTCACGTGGGGCAAGATCTGGGCGCTGGGCCTAGTCTGCGTCAAACTCTGGGCGAGGTACAGTATACTAGTATCCATCTACGAAGTCTTACGGCTCGCCTCCTCGAAACAAGTAAAATCAAGTGGGGAGAGCAACCGTGGCCCACGGCAATCTATAGTACTTATCTGCTGACAATGAATTAGGCCACCCGGCGGAGCTATGATCCGCGGCGGGGTCTGTCCGTATTTGTGCTTGTTGCGGGTTTCCTCGGAGTTTTTTTTTTTTTTTCCGCAGCCTTGCTTTCCTGGAATGTTGTGCCGGTTCTTTTTTGGCTGTGTTGCTGTGTGATTTTGATTGGTTAGGAAGATCGAGCTGTGTCTACGTCCCCAGCACGCAACGTTTTCGGAGGACTTTCACTCGGTCGTGGTGGCATGTTACACAGGAATCCGGAAATATCCCCGCCGATTTTTTTTTTTTTTTTGTGACGGTGGGGTGGGAGGGCGTCGAGATGATTTGTTCGTCAGTTCTCACTTGTGATGGATCTTGCAGCAACAGTTCATAAGCACAGAGCAAAAATCCACGCCACCGTTGCACGCCGCGGCATTGCTGCACAACCTCTCCCGGTGGCCAGCCTGCTTTGTTCTGTGATTGATGCGGACTGCCGGTTGTGCAGGGCGTCACGGCTTAGTATTGTCTTTTCGCCTCGGGAGCTTTGTTTTGTCAACATCGAACCGCCTCCCAGGTTAACCCCAATCAGCCCCTATTTTCCCGAAGGACTCTTGCTGCTTGTCAACATTGAATTCCCTCCTAGGTTATCCGCAGTCAACCCCCATTTCCCCAAAGGCGTGTTGGTGTCTGTCAACACTGAATCCTCTCCAAGACCATCCGCAAACCCGCAAACATCACCCTTTCCCCCCATTTTTTGAAAGGTGCGTGCTGGCGGGGGCGGTGAGGGACGAGGCGTGGCAAGGACGTCTTCGGCGCTTGAGAGAGAATGGCTTCCGAGGAGTGGACTTCAAGTTCACCATGCTAGAGGTGCCGCCTTCTTTGACGTTGGTTTTCGTGAGAAGTTGAGAGATTGGTCAGGCGTCTTGCGGGCAGGCTGGCAAACCATACTGAAAATTCAGAGGCAGGAAGAGATGACTCGGTTGTGTTTTTGTGTTTGGCTTGAGTGATTTTTCTTTTTTGGACGTAGTTTCGTGTCAGGTTTTGATGGCATGTTTTGGGTATCAATCAAGTTGGCTCCTCGTGCGCCGTTTTTGTGAAGTTGAGAATCGGGTTGGCGTTGTGGGACTCCGGGTATCAAAGGTAGGATGTTAACTCTTCTCCTGAACCAGCAGCCGATTTTGCCCTCTCCAGCGCCACTTTATGATATGGCCGCACAGGAAGTTCCGATTGTGGTGGGGGTGACACTTGGTCTTGATGCTCTCGTGCTTGTATACATCGGGTCACACGGGGGGCGGGAGATATTGCGCGAAAATTGTACCCCAATTCTTGAAATTCAAATGGGTTCGACCGCCGCTGGTGGGGGGCGGAGAGGGTATTTTCATGCATAAAAAACGAAGAAACTGTGGACAGAGCGTTGTATACTGCTGTACTTGATTATGAAGTTTTTTTTTCAGTTACGCGAGCGCGTCAAGTGTTGGACTAGTACGACAGAAGAAGGTACTGGGTAGAGAGAACGGAACAGTTTTTGATGTGAAGACAAGAACAACATGCGTTTGACGCCTAAGCCGGTCACGCAGGAGCATGTGAAAGCAAGGAGCAGCTTTCCTTTTCTTGTTTCTGCGTGCCTGTGGTCTTGTTCGATTCTTGGACGCCCTCACTTTCAGATTGTTCGAAATTCGCCCTATGTCGCAAACCCGCAAACCCCGTTTTTTTTTTGTTTCGGTTGGTTCGAAGAGTGACACAGGTATGTTTCCGACGTCGATCGCAAACATCGCCTCGTTTTTTTTTTTTTATGGGTTCGACGTGACACAGGTGTGCTTCCCCCTCCTCGACGTCGTCGGGCAGTTCTACTTCTGGCCGCACCTCTTGAACCGCTTCGCTCTCCCCCTTCTGGTGGCCAACCAGCGGGACCTCCGTGTCATCCAGAAGGGGATGCCTTTTGTGAGTCAGTCTCCTGAACCCCCCTCGGTTCTTTTTGTTCACCCGTCTCGTGTTCTCGCCTTTTTGTGGGTCTCTGGTCTTGCTGTTTCAACCATATTCGGTTCTTGTGTTCGTCACTCTTGGTGTTCTTTTGTTTTTGTTTGTTTGAGGGTCTTTTTTCTCGAGAAGAACCCCGCCGCTTCCATCAGTCCAGTCCCTTGCTTCTTCCAATCGCGGAGAAAGGAGAGCTTTTTTGCACGAGTCCCGTTTTTTCCTCGCTTTTAAGTATGCAACAGTCAAATCTTCTTCTGCTTGGGAACCGCTCGCCCGCGTGTTACCTATCGATTCCTGCTTGGGAACCGCTTTTTATTTTTCAACAGAGGGCCATTTTTCCTTGCGTTAAGTTGGAATTGCCCCTCCTACAGCTGTTTCGAATGGGGCACCATTTTCAAGACTTGGGCGTTAGTCGGCGGCTACCCTGCACCCATTGCGCGGTTTCGATTTTCAACCCACTCGCGATGACGTGCCATTGTTTTCTTCTTCGAGAGAAGGCCGTGCCTTGCACGAGAGAGTGTGCTCCTCCAGTAGAGCCCCATTCCTGGTTGACGCCTGTTCTTGTTGGCTAGCGCATCCCTTGCATGCAGATTGGTGCCAACGGCGGTGAAGGCCTCATTTCCACGATGGCGGTTTGCCCCTTGTGCGGACGCCTATTTTACAGTTGTACGCTGTGCGACCGCAGAGGCAGTCACGCGCCGTGTAACTTGATTTGGCGGAGCTATTTCTCCGACAATAAAATAAGATATTCGAATACGCGAACACGCGGGCCTCGCCGTGTTTTCGGCTGTGCGCGTGCCGCCGCCCCGTTCCTTAGGTGTTCCTCCTGCTGAAGGCTCTTTGGTCGGCTGCGATGTTCGTGGTGAACAAGATGAAGGCTCTCCACGACCTGGTGAGTGTCCTAGACTAGAGACACCGCCCCCTTTGTTGTGTCCGCCATCGCCGCCTCCGGGCCGAGAGTCATCCGGCATTGTCTCGCCCGTGTCGGTTAGGGCCATTTGTTACAGAGGGCCATCATCACGAGCTTGAAAACAGCGACGACAAGCTCCTTTGCGTTCTTAAAGCATCAGTCCTCGGACTTGTCAAATGCTCTTGTCGTTTTCGGGTTGGTGCTTTTCGCGATGCATGGCGTGTTTATGTTGCCATCGGGGGGACTTTGAAGCCCCGCTCGCTCGCTCGCTCGCTCGCGGCAGTGAAACGCATACACTAGGACAAGGCCAAAGCGGCGAACAAACTTTCTTGGTTGGTGTTCGAATTCAGGCGCGGCGGATTGACTTCTTAAAGCGACTCTCTGAGAAACCTCCCTCTCCGTGTCCCTACGCCAATCCCCTACGCGGGCGTTGAACGCCCAGATTCGCGACGATGAGTATCTGGTGGGCCTGGAGCTAGAGAACATGCCCCCTCAGGGCCACGCCGACGACGCCACGACGTCATAGTTACGACAGGGCATTACTGTCTCTCTAGTTTCGCTTGTGTCAGTGTCAAATCGCTTCAGAGATGGACTTGCGTAGAAAGAAGACTATGCTGCGGCGTTAGGGCAGGCATGGTGTTCTCTGTTTTGAGGCACTCATGTGTACCTGCGATAGGAAGCCCAAAACACCAGAATGTCCGGTCTTGTGACGAACGGGTAGATTTCCGCACGCTTCCGGAGAAATACAAATCTGGCGGTACCCGAGCAGTGGCGCTCATTCTCGGACTCGACTTACGGCCCTTTCCGGGCAACATCTTCCTGAAGTGCTTGGTCTGGGATTGACCAGATGACCGGCGCGAGCGCGCGGCCAGAACATGGGAGCGAGGTGGTGGTCACTCACTACTGCTGGAAGACCTAATTATTCATTTGGCTCCTAGGCTACTCGTCGGCTAGAAGACGCGACTGTCAGTGGTATTTGGTTCCGTTTCGACGTTTTCTTTCGTTTTTTCCCACAGAACAAATAGGAGGAAGGGAGAGAGAGAGAGAGAGAGAGAGAGAGAGAGAGAGAGAGAGAGAGAGAGAGAGAGAGAGAGAGAGAGAGAGAGAGAGAGAGAGAGAGAGAGAGAGAGAGAGAGAGAGAGAGAGCGAGAGAGAGAGAGAGAGAGAGAGAGAGAGAAGTGCGTCTGTGAGCGCTTATCTCATGATGCCGATATCGGCAGCACGAAGGGCAAACGGAACTTCGAGCAGCCTGGTCTCCGAGCTTCGTCGGCAGGCCCACCAACAGGTCTCACGTAGCTTTACAGCGTGGCTACATACCATCGAAACAAAACACAACGCATGGCTTTATTGCGCTAAAGAATCGCAAGAGATAAGTCTGGGTACATGCCATCCCTTTGGCTCAGCCCTCCATCGTCTCTCCACGAAAATTGTCGTGCCGGCTTTCTTTGTGTCACGCGGTCTTTTCAATCTCCCGCGTGTGATTTTCGTGCAATTTTACGACGCCGGCTTCTTTCGCCTTTTTGGCTGGAGCGAGCCACACCCGCAACACACCGGTCCATGTTGACTGCGTCTGCCTGCGAGATGACCTCACGCGCGGACTAAGCTCATCCCTGGACGTCCGACTGTAGTTCGTGCGTCCTGACCGCCATACGCTGGCGGTCCACCTTGGTTGGCCGTGATTTTTCTTCAATCCGGAGGAGGCATTAGCGCCTCTAACGTTGAAGCAATCAGCGGAGAATCCATCACACCGGTGCCCAGGCCAGAACCGTAGGGGCTGGAGGATGGGTGGAAGATTACGATCGCGTTGTTGGGGCCGATGCCACTGGCGAAATTCGTTCATGCTCATTCGTTTGCCGACGACTCCATGCGTCCAACAACACAGAGAACCTATCTTGTCTGTTGATAACTTCCACGAGGAATCAGACGGTATCTCAGAAAAATGCCGGGGGAGGTCGATGGTGTATGTTGGCAACTTTGGCCTGGAGTGAATAGGATATTGACAAACCTGCAGAATGTCGATCTATTAGCAGGACAGATTCGCGACCATTTATAGGCATGTCCACACTATCGACGCGCAAGAACAGGAGTCCTCACTGAATGCTACCAGATAGCCTGGCCGTGCATTGTTGTCTTCACGCTAATAACCGTATCAGTCTCTGCTCCGAATATACTTCAATAATTTCAATTTTTGCCCAACTGCTGACGTCGCGGACGCCTTCCGGGGTTAAAGTCAATTATCTATCCACGTGACATCTGACCTTCTCTTTAGGGAGCATGGCGGTGAGTGTGGTTCGGTGGATTCTGCTCTTCCAGAAACACCCCGATACACAATCATTTCCATTCCTCCTGCCGTACCAACGTTTTTGCTGTCCCTCCCGGTATGGGTGTAGCAAGGTCGAGACCCATTGATGCAACACATACATAACGCCGTGATTAGCGCCGGTGGCCCTGTAGAGCGCCGGTAAAATTACTGGGCACAAACGGAATCACCAAGTCAATCTGTACATTGAATAGCGCCGGTTCCCTCTGAATAGCACCGGTCGATGCGCCGGGTACATGTCGGCGTTATGGAGGGCCCTCCACTGAATGTCAGAAAATTTTAAAGAAGATGACCACAGCCACAACGGGTTGTTTTCATTCCGGGCGGCTTTTCGACCAGCAAGAAACATGCCTAGGATCCGCGGCTTTAGCCTGGACGGGAGACCGGTGAAAAAGTAATCTCCCTCGAGCTTGGTATCCGTGTCTATCTGTTGTCGGGTTATTTGGCTGCTGGAGGTGTAGCCGTGATTCCTCCGCACGTTGATAGGAAAAGAGGTGGGGTTGCGCTTATTACAGAAATAACGGAAACCTCTTCAAAAATGGAACAGCTACACGGAACATGATGTTGCCCATACAGCGCACGCATGAAGGTGAATTGGAGCCACCGAGGCAGCACATCGACATCAAAGCGTCTCGGAGAGCTCCAACTTTTGTGAGAAAACATGTTGTCGGTTGAACTTGTTCAGACATTTTTCTCGTTGTCCGCAGCAGTCGATAGGGAGACCACGGCAAGATATCCGAAAAGCTTCAACGTCCGGTGAGCACCAGGAGGTTTACCCGCCATACCAGAGACGTGATCGGACGCAAAATTGTAACGCTTCCCTGCTAATCCCTGTACGTGTTGTCGGCTCTCTCTGTCGTCACCTCCCCCAGAACCACAACACCACTGCCACCTAGAGCACAGCAGTTACCTGCTGCGCTCTTCACCCAAATCTAGCCTGATCTAGCCGTGTGACGACTTTTGCTACACTGACGACCTGACTGAGAAGATGAATATCCTCGTGATGCTGCTGTGTGGCATCCTCGCCGTCTTCCTCCCCCTGAACGTGCCGGTTGCCCAAGCTCGCCCATTCGGAGACGGGGACACCTGGATCCGTACCTGCGCGGACATCCCGGCCGCGGCTACCTTGACCGGAGGAACCCTGACGCTCCTCAGGGACATCCACTGCGCAACTCTTAAGGTGAGATAGGTACTGTAGATCTTGTTTCGAGTACACCTCGGCGAGGTGAATCTCAACACAGCTAGCTGCTCCTCCTCCAGAAGTTTGGACGACTGCAGCACTTTTTCGGACAACATGAAGCGTGTTCATGTGCGAGTCGCGGTCATTAGCAGGCGGCATTGGCCTACACATACATCCAATACGTCACATCCCTTCTTAGTTTCCGGATCCGGCTTCTCTTTCGTTCGAAACTCATCGACTGCTGCTGTAGGGCGTCGATGCCGTTTCGAAAATTTAGGCCGCACTGCTGTGCGTGCTGGTTTTTTTGTTGGAGCATCAGTTTTGCTCTCTATTGCTTTCATTCTCGCGACCACTTCTTACAGTACCTCAACTTTTGTTCGAGAACCACAAAATTTTCGATGCACCTAAAGTCTACTTGCTGCCGCATTGGTACCCGTCATTATTTCGTCTGTCTATCGTGTGGTGAACAGACCATCCACATCACCGGGGACACAGTCATCCGTTCGCACTCTGCGCTGAACACGATGGGAGTTGGGCTGGTTGTACACTCTGGAGCTCGCGTGACCATCCGTGCGCCAACCGTACTCATGCAGAAGACCGAGGCAAGCGAACACTTTACGTACTTTCAGTGAAAACTGAGTTTGTTTGTTTCAGTTAATTTCAGTCCAGTCCATCTTTTATGCATAGTCTACATGGCAATGCTGTTGTGCAATCGATATGAAAAATAATTCGTTTCGCTTTGCGTACTTGCGACCACTTCCTCTTCCGTTCATCAAAGTGGAATTCGATACATACACACACACCATCTGATTACCCGTCAATTCTCGTTGTTGGTGTGGACAGACAATCGACATCACCGGGGACACCGTCATTCATGACCGCTGTTGTTGGGGCACCGCCTGTTGACGTGCCTGCACGATCATTTGTTTTTTCTCTGCCGCAACCGACGTGCTGTAGTTCTACTTGTCAATACAACGGTACTTTAGGGTTCATGTCCCCACCCCATTTTCCTTTATCTATCTACACTGCAGTAGAACAAGTTTGTATGCGCAATAAGAAGGTTGTATCATTAACAACGGAGAACCGACAAAAAAAACTAAGATCGAGCTGTGATTTGGTCGAAGACCAAATATAACGCTGTTTGGGTTTTCTGGCAGATCTCAAATAAATCTCATCTTTTCCTGACTTAGAAAAAACAGTCCTCATTTGAGAAGCAAGGTGGTCTCCGCGTCTCCAAATTTACTCGGAGGACAAAAACAATCAAAACAAAATACCGTTAAAACACGACGACGTTTTTTTTCCCGGCCAACAGAGCCGATTCTGATTTTGAGTTGTTGAATACTGATTTTTGGTTCTTCGTTTATTCGGGGCATTAGGAATACCTGGTACCAGTCAGTGTGCTTTGCCTCCGATTATTCTCTGTGCGTGCACAAAATTTCGGTTTACGCGTGCGCGTGTGCAATCAAAGTGGAACTCTCTCTGTCTCTCTCTCAATCTCTTGGCGTTCTTTCTCGTTCTTTCCCTATACCTCTCTTGGCGTATGTATCTGTATCTGTTTGGGGTGTCAGCGCGTGTGCTACATGTTGTCACGTTCGCGGGCTCTTGTAGAGAACATTTTGCACAAAGGAGTGACTCAAGTTCCTTATATTATTGAGAGAGCGAGACATCGGCAGGCAAGCAGAACCTAGCGCGTCAAGTCCATTACGCCCATCGTGTACCTATCTGTGTACTCCCCCCCCCCGGAGACCTCGGAGATTCGTATCCTGCCGAGTACACACACAGACAGTATCTGTCTCTGTCTCCCCTACTCCCGTGTGGTGGCGATCAACGGAGCAAAACAACCCCCCCACTACCGCCACGTTTCTACCCAATCCGAACACCCGTTTTGATAGACGATGCGAGGCCAGCCCGTCCTCCGGGTCCAGGGGAGCGTAGAGTTTGAGGTTACCAACTGGGTTCCGGAGCACCTCGAGGGAACTCTGGTGAGCACGTGGATGAAGATCGTACACCCCGACCAAAGTTTGCTGTCGCCATGAACTTCCTACGCTGTCTTGAGTTACCCCCCTCCTCCCAAAATAAGGAACGGCTCAGGGGGAGCTGGAAAAACTGCCTTGTCTCAAGATTAGAATTGAACGTAACCAACCCCGTGCAGCCCCCTGACCCGGCTAGAGGTGACCCCGCAAGGATAACTGTTACTTTTGGCGCTGCATGATGATGTCGTCGAGACACACGCCGTGCAAGTCAAACAACATCATCGACAACTACATAATACGACAACAATTGACTTGCTGCCGCCTCCGCTTCCTTCGGTGGTCTCACATTCACAGGCGGACAACCACGGCATCGTCTCTTGTGAAGGCCAAGGGCTTGTGCGTTCGAAAATGGCCATCCTGTACACCTCAAGCGCTGTCATTGTCGCCAACCCTGCGGCCGCTTTTAAGGTAAAGTGTTTGTCAGGCATTTTCTGGTGGTGGTGAGACACATGTTTGTCTGTTCGGAGTAGTCTAGTAACCAATTTCTCAGCGGGCGCGAGAACATAGGGAAGGGCGGGTAGGCCCTGGTCAAACTCTAGCTGTTGCAAGTACGCGGTAGTTCCCACGAGGGAGGGTCGTTCCATTGTTGATTCCCCATTGAAATAGTCCACATCAGTTGGGCGTCTGGAGGAAGCTCGACGCTCTTATCGGCAATGGTATGATGCGTGTTCGTCTAGAAATTAAATGTGTGTGGGTGACACGTTCGGTCCGGAATGGCGAGTGGTCACGCCGGCCATGGAATCCTCGTGTTCTGTTTGAGTCCTACCTACGTTTTGACGCAGCTTTTCTTGTGGGAAGCTACCTGAACCAGACTACGCTGCACGTGGACATGTTACTTACGACCAAATGCTGCTGTAGCCCGAACCAATGCACGAAAGGACTTCCCCAGATGCCGAGTAATGCCGAGCACTCTGTGGCCCGTCTTCGCAAGACAGCAGTGCTTCCTCCAAGTAGTGGCGTTTCTCCGATGCATGTTCCAAGAAAGTAGGCCAGAAAGAATCAGCAGAGTCATCTTCATAACCACGGGTTTCTCACGTTGACCATCGCCACCACCTCCCGGCGCCCACAGTCTCTCGACAACAATACCGTACTTTGGAGGGCATATTGCCGCTGTTTCTACCACTGCCTCAGTACGACGTCGCTGACTGACCTCCTCTCTCTCTGCTACCGTCTCCCTCCCTCCCCCTAACGTACGGGGCGCTTCCAAACAACCACAGAAGGAGGCCGACCCTGTCGAGACGGCCATGCCTACAGACCCCGACCTGCGCAGGAAGCTTGCCATCATGCACGCGAGGATGAGCATGGACAACAACGAAGACGTCACGGGCAACAACCTGTCGTCCATCAACCCTGACCCTCCTGCTGCTACCGTCGTCGCCGACGCCAAATCTTCATCTCCTGCCGCCGCTCCCAACCGGAAGCCTTTCTCTTCTGTTGCTGCCCCCGACGACAGCGATGACGGCGACGACAACAGCCCCGCCGCTGCCAACCCCGGCCCCGGCCCCGCGTCCGCCGCCACCGCCGCCACCGCTGGGTCTTCGCCGTCTTCTGCCGTTGACCCGAAGGCTTTGGCTCCGGCCAACGTTGGCAACAACCCCGCTTCGGGAATGTCCATAGCCGATTTCATGATGGGCAAGGCCCACGGTACCGACGAAAATACCAGCAACGGTAACGGTAACAACAACGGCAACAGGAACAACAACAGCAACAACAACAACAACAACAACGGTAACAACAGCGGCAACAACAGCGGCAACAACAACAGCGGCCGCAGCTCGTACACCCCCCCGGACCTACAGTTCCACCCCGACTTCACCCTGAAGGTTGGACAAGTCTTGCTCGGGAGGCTCCTCAACCCGGCCCGGACAGCCATGGCTTACGCCTCCCCCACCGACGGCTCCGTCATCCTCGCAACGGCTGTCGGCAAAGCTCCGCGGGACGCAGACGGCAACACCACCGGTCCGGTGCCGCAGAAGAACCGGACCCTGCTCACGGCCAACCCGAGGAAAATGTCCAAGGTCCGAGCGCTTCGATCCGAGAACATTGCGGCTAGGCTCGAGAAGAAGAGGGCGGCCCTCGAGGGTCGGACCCTCCGGAGGGGAAAGGTGGCAACCCTCATGGGCTTCTTGCCCTTCGGGAAGCACGGCTTCCTCAGGAGAAGGGCGAGGGAGCACGCGGAGGCGCACATGGGCGAGGCGACGCTCTCCATCACCAAGAAGGGCGGCCTGGTACGTTGGACGACAGCAAGAAGACTTGTAGCCGCTGTAGTAGCAAGGTGAATGGTGGAATGTAAAACGTGCGTCGGTTGGGGTCGATCCCGTGGTCTGTCCATGATATGGTTCAAATGAGTGGAATTGTTGGCTACTTCATCCATGCACCCTGCCGTGTCCCCTCCGCCATCCGGTCAACTAATTTTCACCCCGGTGCGCTCCCTCCCCCTCCTTTGAAAGCTTTCGCTAATACATTTCAGGTGTGGTGGTACATAAGCCGAAAATATGGCACACAAAATCTCCCCCCCTTCAACATGTACAGAAAATCATGTCCCCTAAAACTAAAACCCCGACCCCGCCCCTCTCAACCCGTCTTTGTGTGCGGAACCCCATACGTGTATACCTTCCTGCGCAGGAAGTATCGGTCGACGGGATCGTCGTGCTCCGGAAGTCTGGGCCATCTTGGTTTGGGTTTCGCCGAACAGATCGGTCGTACGAACTGCGAGTGACAGAAGAGGGGGTGGTTATCTCCAGAAGAGGGATGTACGACTGGGGAATCAAGGCTCAGGACCCCTAGACAGAAAGAAGGCCTCCTCACCACCGAACCCAACCTTGGTTTTCTTCTCATCCCGAAGGGATCGTACGCTATGTACCCACTAGTAGTTGAGCTTTTGTTAACGTTCTGGCGCTCGAAGTGGGTGATTTTCGATTTTCGGCGAACGCACGATACTAAGGCGGAGGCCATCATCGTCGCAATGATAATGTTTTTCCTCTGCTATCTATTCTTTAGGCTCAAAACGTACAATCGGAAACCACGAATTTGAGGTCGCTTCTTGACGACATTGGATCAGAGACGTCCAGTTGCAGGGTTGTTGTGCGTGATCGTTCTTTCGCCCCAAACCACAAGCTAGGGTGCGGTTGTAGAGTCGGCTTGCCTGTTGCCAAGCACAATGGTACCGCAGTACACAACACGCGCTTTTTGGTTAGATCTTCCCTCCAGTTTTGAAGGTTTGCTAGAGAGCAGCGTGCGAAAAAGGGGTAGAATCTCTTTGTACAAGCGGCATCGTGTTGCTACGTATAGTCACAATGGAGTTGTTGCCACTTTTTGAGAGCGTATTGCTTGTTCGGGATTTGATTGATTTCAGTTTACTTTTGGCCGTGCCCCTATCGGTGAAACAACCACCACGTGTAAGTGTTTTGTTCGAAACTCAGCTTCAGAGTGATCAAAACAATCGACGTCTCTTTCTGGGGTAAGACCCATTTTCTGATATATCTTTTGTGTTGTTCTGTGCCCTGCTTGTTTTTCCACGAACCATGTGTTTGTTTTGGTATTACCTACGCAGCAGTCTGGTTGCCTGCAACCACGGAAGGGGATCGCGTCAGTTGGACAACAACGGATGTTGGGGGGTACAAAGAGAGATCTGAACGCTATGCTTGCGTGGTTGCAAAATAATCAATAGAGACACCAATCAATTTCAGCGTTCCCATCAACATCCACAACAAAAACGATGGCGACAACAACAACAAAGTCAACAGTCTGAGCTGTAGCTTGCGACCACCACAAAAAACATGGATCGGTCCTTGAAGACCTGGGGAAGAAGAGGAACTGGCACGATGTCAGAACGACCTTCAATGTGAAGAGCACCACAACGACAGCCAGCGCCGTGTGCGCAATTTCCTTCAAGCTGTCTTCCATTGCTTCAAAAGTGCATACCCCTCGGCTAACCCTAGCAACCCGGACTTAATGAATCAAAGCGCCTCAATTGCAACTATTCGTGAAGAAACGCACGGACCCGCGGAGGAACGCCCCTCCCTCTACGCTCATTACACGCCAAGCGTCTCACGCATAGTCGAAAGAATCAACGTAGGAGACGACAACTACCAACCGTGTCACATCCCACGGACAATAGTGCTCCCCATCGTTTCAAATTGCATTGATCGAAAGAACAGTCATGGCAGGTTCCTACGGTGGCAAGAGCCTAGGGTAGGTTTGCACAACGAAACCCTTGCTTTCGGTCCACAGACACGTACACCTCATTGTTGCTGAATCTTGCAGCTACTCCCGCTATCGACACACAGATAGGAGAAAGACTCCTACAGTGCATGAATCGTTAACCGGGTCCACAACGACATTCCTCCCAATAAAAAAAACAACTTTTCTTGAAGGCACACACTAATTTCATGGGGAGGCAGGCAGCTAGGGAGATTAACGGTGGGGGAGAGCATATACCGTGAGCGTGTTGCAAGAACGGCCCTCTGTCGCCACCTTCAAACAACCATTCCACACCGTCGATTGTTGTCCAAACCTCTTCTCATGAGGACCACAAGAGCGTTTTCGCCGTGGCTGCGATGACGCTCTCTCGACACGCCTCTTTCAAGCGACATGCCATGGAGGGAACGCTAAGATGTTCTCTCTATCTTCGGTCGGCATTTCCGAAACGACCGGAAACCGCGAGCCTCGACATCCTGTGGAACAAGGTTAGTACAAGATCACCCCTTGGTCCGTATCTGCGATCACGATCGATCCCGACTGCTTGTACCCCCGTTTGCCCTCCTCGACTCCCCCCCACCCTCTCCGCCCCCACCCCTGCAGTGCGATAAGCCCTTCAGATGTACGAGCTGTCTCTTTTCGTGACTCTTGATCTCGGCGATGATTGCGCGTACGCACCCCTGCACCTGAACCGTGGACCGCAACGATGAACGAGGTGAATTTTTACGGGTGGCTGGCCAAAGCTGTGTCAACGCTATCCTTCTTGTAGTAGGAGTCAACAATAAACACATATCTGGCAGTTGGGGCACAATGGCCTGGATTGCTGCTTGAATGTACACTTCTTGCGCGTTCGAGTTGATTTCAATTGGGTGATATTCTTACCGTTGCAGTATCAAAGGCGTGTCAGGAATGCGACATGACCATAGGCGGCGAAGAGGTTCTCACAAAGCCCCTAAACAGTCAATATGTATTGCTACAACCTGCCGCTCAAGATTCAAACATGCAGAAGTCATCAAAAGATAATTCGGCGGTCTGAATCCCGCTTGGAGCAGCGATCTTTGTTTCCACGCGACAAATAGTATTGGTGGTGACAGACTGTTTACTCTCCGTCATCATCGCGAGAATTGCCATTAAGCTTCCTGAATGCAGTTAGGGACACATCACGCTGCAATCCCCCACGAAAATATCCAATGCTCGTTTGTATCGACAATGACGAATATATCGTGATGGTTCTGTGAGCCAAACAAGACACAGACAGACGAGCTCGCGCTGTGCAGTCCCATCGCTGCGTGTTTCGCAACGCTTGGTTTCGTTGCTACCCTTTTTTCTCTTAGGCTATTTCTTTCCCACGAACAAACCTTGGTCTCTCGGTCCTTGCCGGCGCCAGTGTACTTACTCAGTCGCCTCGCGTGGTCCGCGCTCTCGGGGCTAAAGGGGAACACCGTCTCGAACCCGAACCCGGCTGGAGATTCGGAACTACTGCCGTCGCATCCGCCGCCGCCGCCGCCGCTGGGTCCGGTGTGGACGTTTTGGCTGCTGCCGTCGCTGCCACCGCCGCCGTTTTGTACGGCGTTGGGGGGGCTCTCGGCGGGTGTTTGTAGCTCCTTCAGCGGTGGCGGTGCCGGCGGGGGCGGGCGGGCAAGGGGTAGGGATGGTGGCCGCGGGGTCGTCGTTTTCGGTGCGGCAGTGCGTTGTTGCTGCTGGTGCTGGTGCTGGTGCTGGAGATGGTGGGGGTCCAACCAAGGGGGGCGCTGCGAGACCTTTCAGTAGTTGCAGTGAGGCAGCCATTCGGAAAGAGAGAAAGAGCGACGGAAATATTTCCACACATGTGAGGAGCTCGTCGTGCGCGCCATACAAAGTTACATTTCTCCCCCATACCGGTTTTGTCGGGGGTGGATATCGGCGCGAACAGCTGCATTACTCACTTTTGAGATGCTGACTTTCAAGGAAATCACAGACATGTTTTCCGAGAGACGTTCTCGGTCGTGCACAGAACGGGGCACGTGCAAGCACAACATTGATTGCAGAAACGGCACGGAGAGCGGTAAAGTGGTATCCAGACATCGTCACCCCTTGAACGAAATCCTACGAATAGTTGTTATTCACGTTGCTCTCGACAGCGGGTTCTTATCTCTCTCTCTCTCTCTCTCTCTCTCTCTCTCTCTCTCTCTCTCTCTCTCTCTCTCTCTCTCTCTCCCACTCTCTCACTCTAGGTGGCAGCAGCTGCAGCTCTGCTCCGCGCGGTGGCGGCGAACAGGAAGCGGTGGAAGACGAAGGAGCCGGAGTAGGAGAGACGAGAAGGGGTCGGCTGTAGCCGGGCATGCTCCTGGCCTTGGAGATCCTCGTGGCCCTCGTTGCCTCTTGCGCCAGGCAGGCAGACTCCATGTCGACGAGGTCCAGCAGGTCCGAGATCAGCGGAAGCTTCACCTCTCTTTGGCGATTATCACCGGCAAGAGAGGCGAATATCGCCGGTCGTGCATGCAAGCACAACGGTGGTGCAATACCGACAAGTATTTGGGATTGCCGGTAAAAACGGGGGAGTACGCGCTTCCCTGGGGTCACGAATCCTTCGCAACAAACCCGACTAGAGACTGCTGGCGATGCCACGTTCGACGACCATCAATACTTCCAAATAGAAGAGTTCTGTTGAACAAAGGGTATCACCAAAGAGTTCTGTTGAACAAAGGGTATCACCAATTTGTTTCTCATCCTTGTTTTCTCTTGGTATAATGTGCGTGTGTGTTTTCCATCGGCTCAGTGACGGTTTGGGCTACATACGCATGCGCGCCGCCGCCGGGAACGGCTCGTCGCGTACGAGAAAAACATGTATGGTAGGTGCAGTCAGTCATCCCCAACCCAGTCGGAGCGGTTGCAAAAGAGCCGCCGCCATCCAGGGACCATAACCCGGGGAAGCAACAACGGGGGTCGCACATGAGCGATGATGTCACACGCTTCGAATCTACTGACTCGGCCCGAGCGAGAGACCACGAGCGCAGTCGAACCTCCATCGGGTGCTTGCCTGTCTTCTCTACCGAATCAACCGTCCAGAGGGAGGTTTCTGTCGGGTTTTTTCCTATCCATGGCAGGGGAGGAGGGGAAAGGGGCAGGGACCAAGATTGGCACACAGACTACTATTTACCGGTCGGCTGGCTCGTCCAGCCCAAGGGCGGGAGAGCAGTTCACCTCTATCAGGTGCGGCCTGCTTGACATCGTGGCCGACGGCCAAGACGACGGAGGCGGGACAAACGAACGGGGGCGAGACGGGGAGGCACGTCAAGCACCGGGGCGGGTGGCGGGGGGGTTCTCACTTGCGGTTCATCATGGTTCATCATGAAGCCTTGTCGTTGATGTTCGGGAACGTCTGCAGCCCACACACCGCCGCGGCGCACGAGTCCTCAACAGTAGCCTGATTTTGTCCGAAATTCCGGTGGGTATACCCACTGCACCTTGTACCCCGTTCTGTCAGTTTTGTGGGTTCCGAAATGTGCCCCACGTTTGTCCACTGTTTCTGATATTAACAGCGGAAACAGAAAAAACAACAACGGCATACCTGGAGAGCCTGCAGTCCACCATGACGTCGAATCCGAAAAGCTCGAAGCAGCTATCGTGCCCTACTCCGCCAGGAACCACGTCCGCCAGGGGGAGCACGGTCAGGCACACCAGAGACCGGATCTTGGCCCACAGCCGGTCCCACCGCTCCACTCCGTGAGCAGAAGACTCCTCCACCCTATATATGCCGACCGACAGCAGATGCAAAAAGCACCGGTAATAAGTTAAAGGGGCTATCCCCTAGAACGAAGCAAAAATCACAACCATTCCGGCGTAGAGGCAAGGGACGGCAGTGCAGAGGCATGGAACCGCGGCATTGACGGCGAGGACAAAATCTATAGCTAATAAGCTGCCGAACGATTGGGTAAGGGTGAGCGACGCAACCAGGCTCTGGGGCAAGCAACGGGGCGAGCCGGGAACCTGACAGCAGTCATGTTTTTTCATTGGCGGCGACGGCGGGTGGGCATACGAACGGAAAAGGCTCTCTGGCGTGGCTCGATGGTTCTCCTGAGAAGCACTACGACCAGCCTTACCAGCGTTGGAGCCGTCGGAGGGTCCACTTGCAACCGCCACCGATGACGTCCTTCTCTTGCGAAGCGAAGGGCGACCGCTTGTTGATGGAGCAGTTGGTCAGGTGCCCGAAAAGGTCGTGGTGCGGGCTCCCGACGTACCTTGTAGGTCAACACCAAGCAGCGGCAACGGCAGCAGCGGCAGCAGGTATTGTGGTTGAGAGGGAGATCGGTATCGCGAGAAGACCCCCAGACATCGCACACATGTCATCCTTCTCATCTGCCTTTGCACACCTCCGACACAATGTTTCTGCCTCGCTCTTGCCGATGAAGAAGCGATAGCCGAAGCTTTTCCGTACTTTGCTAGCCATCTTGCTGGCAGAAAGACGTGCTACGGACGGGAAATATTGTGTGTGTGAATGCGTTTTTCCCCGTTGGCGTTCGGTTGGTCGCGCTCACTTCGAGGTGGCGAAGCGAACGATGCCGTCCCTGTACACCGACACAGTCATGGGGTGCAGCGAGGTCACCACCACGTACCTGGCAAACACGGGTCAAGAAAGTAGGGTGGCGATGTGTGTGCGCGTGTGAAGGGGAAACGAAAGCGGAAGGGGGGTACCGCCAATACGGCCGATGTGAAAATGCTCCGTCCCTATGGTACGGACGAGTCGGGCTCGAGTGAAGATTGGCGTATTGGCTAGCTCCACAAGCTCCCTACACCCAATCCCCAATTTTTCGAAATTCGGCCAACATTTGTGGACTACAGCCATGTTCGGGAAATGGGTTTCATCAGACACGACAACGTAATCGGTGAAGATATTGTCGATCTACTAAACGAGGCAAAGCAGATCTCGGCATGCACCGTCTTGAAACACGTTCGCTATCATCTATTATCCTGGTGTGTCAACTGGTACACCGGGTCTTTAGCGCCAAGCAGCAAGTGAGAGATATCCTAGCACGAGGTATCTCCGAGAAGAAACTCACAGTCGCAAGTCCGCCTTGTACCCGCCGACGGTGAGCGGGTCAGAAATGTACCTGTCGAAGTCCAGTTCACCGTTCATTGGGTTTCGGTGGAAATAGCGTCAGAAAAGTGCACCTGCTGTCATACCATTGCATCAGTTCATCATGCGTGTCGTGCGGTGGTGTGAGTGTCAGAAGGCGGCACCTATCGTCAGGGCAAAGGTCAGTTTAGTTCACTATCAACTTTGGTTCGTGGCGAACGTCAGAAAATGGTTTGAAAAATGTTTTCATCTGATTCTGTTGTTGCGTTCTTCGGAACGCAAGCTCCTCCCCCAGTACGGGCCCGGAGATAAGAACCGTACAATCGGCTCAGTTCTTATTTCGTGGCCACTCTGTCGAGCACCGGTTGGTATTTACTGAAAAGTATAGTTTAGTGTAAGGATCCACCGCTGAGGTGTGTTTCTTAACCCATTGTTGACATTTTCGTCAACATCTGAGCCTTTGTTTATCGAAATGCTTCTTTTCTGCGGGCCCTTACTGGATGTCAAGGACTCAGGCTACCTACCCTTGCCGACCACAGAAGCAAGATCGAGCGCTGCGACGAACTCACCAATACTTGCATATCTCGCGGGAAGCCTCGGTTCGACGACAAAGAGCAACGCTTGGGGCGAGCCGTTCTTCAACAAGTGCCACCCATACGCCGAGCCTATTGCCCACCTCCAATGAACGAGATACCCTCCCTCCAAACATAAATAACGCCCCCAATGCTACAACACCGGTTTGGAGAGACCTCGCTGCAGCGGTTTTTGAGAGATATTCTTGGAAATGTCCCGACAATAGCGGTATTCGTGGTTTTTTACTGCCCCCACTTTTATGCCGGCTTCCCCGTTTGCCATCGGGGTTGGGTTGTCGTCGCTTGGCAACGACGTTGTAGAACAAGCTGATCACTTCGTGAGCTCGGCAACCAGGTTACCCCGTTTTTTCTATTTTCGATTCTTTTTTGCGGTAACCATAATGGTGGTCCAGTAGATTTGTTGTGCGGGGTCGAGAACCCTCACCGGCGCAAAGGGGATGATCGCACCACGTTGTGTGAAATGTTCAAGCACCCTCGAGGCTCTATGCGTCGGCGGGGACGAAACGGCAGCCGGCGGTTACACATGCTCATAACTGTCTCAGGAAATGAAAGCACCAGAAAATAAGTTTAAGTCATTCGCAGCTGTCATCCATACGCAAGGAATTAAGCACAAGATGCCGAACACCCTTTAGCAGGATGCAGCGCACCCTCCATGCGACTCGCCGAATGCCTCAAAGCGCTTCGCGCTTGGTTGTGTGAGAGCCTGGTCCGGTTAGAACCCGGCCTGCTCCGTCCCGGCTTTGTAGGGATGCGAGGTCAATGGTCTAACGACTACGGCATGCACAACTGTATGAGTACCCCCCCCCCCCCACACACGACTAAACCCCCCCTACAAAAAAATAAAAATGGTCACCGCCGCTCG